CTCCATTTATAAAGTGTAATTGTTCTTAAAACTTCACTTTTGTTTATAGAGTCAGAAAATTTATCACATTCAACGACTATATAACCAAAAATAATAAAATAAGATAATAATAAAAGAAATGTACATTGGTACGAACAGTGATAAATTGTTTACAAGAAATGATCATTTTCAACCATTTTTTTTTATAATAGCCCAAATACACGAAAAGTTTCACCAAGATGAAAATAGAAATTTAAATTTGTAGTGGCTGAAATGTGAACCCACTATACCACTTTTTAAATTGTAGGCAAGTACAAGTAGTATGTTTTTTTCTTTAGCTTTTCGCTCGATATTCGATAATTGTATTAAATTTTGATTAATTTGAATTTACACCATAAAAGTATAACCAATCAATAGCAAATAAAGCAATAAAAGTACACACCAGTAAGGTAATAATATCGATGACAATGAACATTTAATCCAACTTTTAGAAAAATCTAACCTTTTTTTGGATAACAATAAAATATCTATTTTTGTCCTATATCATTACTGCCCTTTTCAACCACTACCTATCCACTGAGATTTTTTTGTATAGAGTCTAAATGTCTAATAGTCAAGCTAAAGTCTTGAATTATTGCTCAAACGTGGGTACCAATTTCCAGCACTCAGTTTACCAACTTGATACCTTTCTGGTACAGATAATTCATCAAACCTTAAAGTTAAAAGAGCTTGAAATTTTTTTTAACTCCTTAAAACAACAATAACATATTTAGTATAGTCCTATATGTGCAGATATTATTTACCCATATATTTGGTAATAGGTACGCAAATATTATTCCTATTATGTGAAAGTAGAGATTGCGGTGACCCTCCTTTTGAAAAATCATTTATATTTTATAAATCGAAACTTTTTCCTGCAGAAATATTTGGTAAGATGAAAGTCATTTTAGAAAAATATTTCCCTTCTAGTTACTACAAAATGTTTTACAAGGGAGAAAACTATTTTCACCAAAAGATAAAAATAATTTCCCTTACTTATAGACATAAATCGTTTTTCTTATAACAATTTTAACTTTTAACTACATATTATTTATTCTAACTAATAATTATACTAGTAATACTCCGAAATTCACCAGAACAAATTCTGATTTGCTAATATTATTGTTGATCTTTAGTATATGCAATATTCTTTCTGAAATTTTTTTTTGGCTCACCAACCAAACACCTTATTTTCCAAAAAAAAAAAGAAAAGAAATTTCTTTGAATAATGACATCTTTTGTAACAAAGTTATTTTTCCCTTTTTATATATGTTGTTACTTATATCTCCGTCATGATAAGAATAAAAAGGGAGTAATACCAGATTTGCTGCTGCATGTTTGTTCTTGTCCTCTCTGCTTCATCTTTCCAGAAATGAATAACCACTTCAATCTGCTGTTCTCATTCATTTATCTCCTTCTGTATAGCTTCATCAACCCATCTTCTTCACTCCCTTTATGCACAGACTTGAGTAAGTTTTTTCAAGATTTTTATGGGGGCAGTTCAATCACTATCAAACTGTCATTTTTACACAAATTTTTGTTTTCTTTTGCTGATTATTCATTGTATATATGTAGGAGCACCTGTAACTCCAAAGAAGCCTTTGGCTTTTTGTCCATATAATGGAAGAGTCTGCTGTGACTCTTCTAAAGATCTGCAATTGCAGAAGCTTTTTGAGGGTATGAATATAACTGACACTGCATGTAGTTCTGCTGTGAAGTCAATACTCTGCTCAGTAAGTTTCCTAATTTCATTCTTATACATTTTAATGGATATTGAAGTTGCAGTTTTTCAAACTTCTTCCTTAATTTTTCTTGATGGGGTTAGCTAAATTTGCTTTTTTTGAGCCGAGATTAATCGGAAACAACCTCTCTCTCTCCCTTCACACTACCTTTCCCGAACCCCACTAGTGGCATTATACGGGTTTTTTTATTGTTGTTGTTGTTGGTTAGCTAATTTGCTTTTTTTGCCAAATTCTTGAAGAAAGAGTATGAATTTTGAGAACTTACATAAGAATAGTTTCAACATCTAATGAATAAACTTTGCTTTAAAGCTAATAAAAAAAATTTCCAATATTTGCAGACATGTGATCAGTTCTCAGCAGAGTTGTTTAAGGTGAAGTCAGGGCCAAGACCCGTTCCTATTCTTTGCAATTCAACTGCTACATCAGAGAAAAGCTTTTGTTCATCTGTTTGGGATACTTGCCAAAACATACCAATAACAAATTCTCCTTTTGCACCATCCTTGAAAACCAAAGCAGGAGAGAGCCAAAACTCAAACTCCTCCTTGTTAACAGACTTATGGCAATCGAAATCCGATTTCTGTGAAGCATTTGGTGGAAACTTTGATAAAGATTCATTATGTTTCAGTGGAGAACAGGTTTTACTCAAGAAAAATGAAACATTACAACCTCCCAATGGCATGTGTTTAGAGAAGATTGCTGATGGAGCTTACATCAATATGGTTCCTCATCCTGATGGATCGAACAGCGTATTTTTCTCCAATCAGCCTGGAAAAATTTGGTTAGCAACTATACCAGAACAAGACTCAGGAGAAGCAATGGAACTTGATGAATCAAGTCCATTTGCTGATTTAACAGATGAGGTTTACTTAGATGCAAGATTTGGGATGATGGGAATGGCTTTTCATCCAAACTTTGCCAAGAATGGCAGGTTTTTTGCATCATTTAACTGTGACAAAGCTAAGTCTCCTAGATGTGCTGGAAGATGTGCTTGTAATTCAGATGTTGGTTGTGACCCTTCAAAGATAAACTCAGATGATAATAAGCAGCCATGTCAATATCATAATGTTGTTGCAGAGTTCAGTGTTAATGGGACTGCACCAAATCCATCCAAGGTAAGTTTTTCACTCTCCTTAACATGTTTTTCAAAGAGCAGCTGTATCAAATGATGGAATTCTGCTCAACCTTTAAATTCCTAGGGGAGTTAAATATTATACAGCTGAGCTTCTATACACCGACATAAAGAATTTTTATACTATCAGTATATTGGATTCAATAGGAAGAACTTAAAAGTTGAACCTATCAAATGTAACTTCTGGATCCGCTTCTGCAATGGTGTAAAAATTCTTTACTCGATCAGTTAATAGAAATTAAACTCAACATTACAATTCTACCTTGAAATAGAATTTTCTCCAATTCCATTTCAAAGGTTTCTTTGCTGTGTCTCTAGGCACTGTGTTTTGACTATGTTAATTGACATTTCATACATTCTGTAGGCGGAGAAGGCAAAACCATCAGAAGTGAGAAGAATATTTACAATGGGGCTCCCATTTACAGCTAATCATGGAGGACAAATACTCTTTGGCCCTGAAGATGGATATCTTTACATTATGATGGGAGATGGTGGAAGCAAGGGTGATTCTTACAATTTTGCTCAAAATAAGAAGTCCTTGCTAGGAAAAATTATGAGGGTTGATATCGATAACATACCAAGTGAGCATTTCGATTTATTACAAAAATTGACACTAAAACTAAAAGCCTAATTGGCCTGCCTTGAACTTTCTTGAGTTATGTCATGAGATACTTGGTGATTTTTCTTCATCAGGTCAAGAAGAAATATCAGACCTTGGACATTGGGGTAACTATTCAGTTCCTCGAGATAATCCTTATTCACAAGACAAGGATTTGCAGCCTGAAATTTGGGCTCTAGGATTGAGAGATCCTTGGCGCTGTAGCTTCGATTCAGAAAGGCCTTCTTACTTCATCTGTGCGGATGTTGGCCAGGTAAAATGATAGTCTCACTTTTGTTAAAATTCATTTCTACAGACCTCTGCACCATGCTGACTTGTAACTTGATGATGACTTTCTGACAATCATTTGAATCGTGCAGGATCAATATGAAGAAGTTGACATCATCACAAGAGGGGGAAACTATGGATGGAGCATGTACGAAGGTCCTTTCCGCTTTAAAAATGCTTCAGCTGATGATTCTATGGATCCCATCTTCCCAGTATTAGGATACAACCATTCTGATATAAATAAAGAGGTTGGATCTGCAGCTATCTCAGGTGGCTATGTTTATCGCTCCAAGACTGATCCCTGCATATATGGAAGGTAAATATGAATACCCATTTAGATATATAATTGAAGCAACTTCAAATTTTGCAAACCAAACTTAACAGAGGATGGTTAAATTTGCAGTTACCTATATGGAGATTTGTATGCTAAGAATTTCTGGGCAGCCCAAGAAAATCCATACAATAGTGGGAACTTCACAACAAGAGGCATACCATTTAGTTGTGCTCATGATTCCCCTCTCAACTGCAGCTCAGTACCCAATAGTCCATTGCCTGCTTTAGGTTACATATTCTCATTTGGACAGGATAACAGAAAGGATACCTATGTTTTAACAAGCACCGGCGTATACAGAGTGGTTCGTCCAAGTCGCTGCAACTACACTTGCTCGAAGGAGACAGTGAGGGCTGCTGAGAGGCCAGGTCCCTCTGCACCTTCAGATGGTCACATTGCTAAACCAGATTTCTGCTTGGTCCTTGTTCTTTACTGCCTGCTGCATTTGACTAGCTTTATCTTGTAGAAATTTTACTGTGATTATGACATCAGTTATATACTAATACACAAGCTATAGTTTGTGTCGGAGCAACTGTATATCTTGTTGCAGAAGAGAAATCAACTGTAAGATTAAAACCATGACCAACCCTAAAAGCATTATGATCGTCCTCTCTTAAGTACCAAACACTTCAACCACAGAAGACACGGCATATCAAATAATGTAGACAATAATACAAGGTCTAAGAAAAGGCAGTCCAGTGCATTAAACTCCCGCTAAGGGAAAGGCTGAACCACAATAGGTTTATTATATGTTGTTTTACCTTGTTTTTTGCAAGAGCCTATTTCCACAGCTTGAACCCATGATCTACACGATTTTAATTAAATACAAACATTAAGAAAAAGAATATAAGAGCAAAGCTACCTTAGCTTCGGCGGAAGTGTGACATACGAAAAAAAGAACGGAACAGGTACTTGATTAATACTGCTTTGGGTTTAAATTCGAAGTTTGCATTGATGCGTGATGTACAAATACACCTATCCTGAAACTGTATGCCACGAGTCTATGGGCTAGCTAGCAAACCGTGAGTCAATTACGAATTTCATACATATCAAGAAAGCCATTGAAGATCATATAACCTCCTCCAACAGTTTTAACCAGGTTAAACAATCATGCATTCCTTGAACCACTACTTCCATCTATCGAAACAATAGCTCTCCAGAATCTTATCCTAGTCTTCCGGTGCTTTTTTTACACCTATTCCAAGCTTAGAAAACACAATCTACTGGGATACTTATTCAATACACAGATGGACGGCAATCTTTGATGGTATGCTGTAGTTTACTTCATTGCAGTAGAACTCCAGGCCCACATCACCTGATTCACGAAGAAAGATGAACGTTAGATCACTCACTACCACTTCTGCAGCTATAGAAATCGAATATAGGTTAAATAATGCTGCCCCTTGGAACTTCTGACTTTACATCCTCAACACCCAAGAACCCCCAGCACTTAACCACCCCCCACCCAAAAAAAAAAATACCACAGCCATGTACAAGTCCACTCTAACTTTTGTATCCTTATAAAAGTAGTTCATTCCAAAGTGATCCGTTTTCCACTTCAAACCACCGGAGGAAACAGAAAAAGAACGTCCATTTTAGAGTTATCTGTTTTCCACGCTAAACTACCGGAGGAAACTGATAGTCAATTCAATTTGCAACTTTTACCTAGCTTTCATGCTTCTTTTCCTATCCAGGCTGGAATTTCTTAAAGCTGATCGTCAGTCCTCCTTTCACCTTCCTGCATCGCATGCTACAGATCTAAGTGAAGGGTAAAAAAAAGAAGAAAAAAAAAGTGCACTACAGCGCTAAATTGCAGCATGCATCCAAAAAATATGTGTTCAGCTTTAGTTCCTTGAAGAAGTAGAAAGTGACTAACAATACGCAATTACCAAGTATAACAAACTCAGCTGTTTCAAATAATCATCTGATGATTTAAAAGAGTAACAGCTTGAATTGGCTTGACAGCACAAAAAGACTATGCATCATGAGGAGCAAGGCACCTGGTTTATTATGGCTAGTTTAAGCCACATTTCTCTCAGGCTCTCAGGTTCCTCAAGTGAAAAAGTCAGAGAGTGCTTAGCTTATCATGAAGCTTTGACACCGGTGAATCTACTAGCAAAGGAGATCAAACGTACGAGATTTAATGTAGCATGGTCTAATAATAACAGAAAACTCCAGGAAATTTTCAAAACCTGCAGCCGCTATGTTTTCTTCCTCCGAATTGACACAATTCTGACAATAAACAAAACATTTGAAGCAGCTATAAGCAAGATCCCTCTGGCCGTCCAAGGACTCTGTTCTTGAGCATGTCATGTTCCTGCCTTCTGTAGCAGCACAAATACAGCTGAAACTCTTTTATCAGAAAAATTATATCACAGAGAACTATCATGAATTCCTGTTATCAGTCTTGTCTGCAACACACTTTTCTAATGCTTCATCACAAAGCTCAAGCGCCAAATCAAAGTTCCCTTGTTCATAGTTCATATCTGCAAAGATGGAGTAAAGTTCTTTATCTGCCAACAGACCATTCCTTCTCATTTCTTCAAACATTTCTTTGGCCTCAGAATACTTTTTCCTCTTTAAAAAACCTTTGATGAGTGCATGATAAGTATCTACTGTGGGAGTAAATCCCTTCTTGATCATTTCCTTGTGCAAAAACCAAGCCTCTTTCATATTTCTAGCTTTGCAATGTCCTCGTATCAATATGTTAAAGGTATTGGCATCTGGTACAACTCCTTGGCCCAGCATCCCCTTATAAATTTCTGACGTCATACACATATTATTTCGAACGCAGTACTGCTTCAGAAGAGAATTGTAGGTGGTAGCATTTGGTATTATGCCCTTCTCCAACATCCACTTCAACAGTTTATCACCTTCTTCTAGCATCCCTGACAAACAAAAACCATTCATCAGAACATTGAATGTAACTATTGTTGGATGAAGTCCTCTGAGCAACATCTGACGTAGTAGTCCATGAGCCTTGTCCATCTCTCCAGATTTGCAATATGCATCCATTAGAGTAGTATAAGTAAAAGTATCAGGATGGATCCCTGCAGCTTCCATATCTTTCATTAACTTAACTGCTTTTTCTACATCTCCAGCTTTACAAAGACCATTAACAAGTGAGTTGTATGTGTAGATATTCAGTTCAAGACCCTTTCCAGACATCTCATGGAGAAGTTCGTGTGCTGTATCAAGTTCCCCTAGTTTACAAAGCCCATCTACCAGTGCAGTGTAAGTCACAATATTTGGCATCAACTGCATCTGAACCATTTTGTTGTGAAGAGAAAAGGCTGCACGTATCTCCCCTACCTTGCAATAACCATCAATAAGCGCAGTATAAATGAATTCATCAGGTTCTAATCCCCGGCCAAGCATATCATTTAAGAGCGTATTTGCTTCACCAATTTTTCCAGTTTGACACACACCAGAAATAAGGGCAGTATATGTAACCAAATCAGGAGTAATGTTAAAACACTGCATCTCATTGAACAGTCTGTATGCAGCACTTATGTTCCCAGTTTTGCAGAAGCCATCTATAAGAGTTGTGTAAACAACATTATCTGGAGCGACTCCCTGGGAAGTCATCTCCCTCAGGATTTTCTCGGCGTCAAGCACTTTGCCAGTCTTAGACAAAAGAAGAATTATACTGTTAAAAGTAAAAGCATTTGGCTTCAATCCTTTTATTTGCATTTCTTTGATGATCATCAAGACTTGTTCAAGCTGTCCAGTAGCACAGTATCCATTAATCACAGTGCTGTAACTTACAATATCAGGCATACAGCCCCTCAGCTCCATTTGCAGGAGTAAGTTATGAGCTTCTTTAACTTTTCCTATCCGACAAAGAGAATGGATCATTATATTATGAGATTCATTATCCCAGCCAACACCCACTTCCGAAAATTCATTAAATACCTTAAGCATCATTTTGTGCCCCTCAATATCATGCGAGAGACGAGAAAGAAATAAGTTACATGAAGAGACAGATAAAACCAAGCCATAGTGCAACATCTTATCAAAAAGTTTTCTTGCATAATCTAGAATTCCCAACTCAACAAGCACTTGGAAGAAAATATCAAAAACATATGGATTAGAACCCCAATCCTTATAAGTGTATATTAATTTTTCAAGAAACGGTGAGAAGGAAACTGTCACATCTACACTGGGTCTTGTCCAAAAATCATGAATAAGACTATGTGCTGTCCTAGCATCTTTTTGAGCAGCGGAAATATGCACGACAATACAACGGACTTCAATTGATGGGTCCCTCCGTTGACACCACCAGTCAAAGAAATCCAGAACTAGTTTGTAATCATTCTTCACAGTCATGAGAGCCCAAATGATGTGGTCAGGTCTGATTTTTGATTCAAAGGGCTTTAAAACACGGCGAATGTGCTCAGAGTAACGCTGCTTAATAGAAGTTGCTACGTGATGCACGAATTCAGAGTCTCTAATGGAGGCTTTTTTAGGAGAATAATCTGGAAAGGGTCTCGCAACAGTTAAAGGAAGGAAAGAAAGCTTTTCAACCGCGCAATTAGTTGAAGAGCAAAAGAATGAGGTGTGTTTTATCACAGAACCCAAGTATCGATGATAAGATAAGAGCTGACAATGGTACGAAAAAACAAAAAGAGAACACCTCCTCATCTCTTTCAAAGAGAGCCATTAAAGCTTGCAAATGCCATGGCTCTCCTCCATGTATAAGACCAATTCAGAGAATCTCCATCTCTTTGTCACCTGTAAAACAAACAGGGTAATCGCATAGGATATTGATCATGTAATATTTTTACTTAAAACGCAATTTCTGGCAAATACAATATCTGGAGAAGAAGGGAACTGAATAAAGACAAAAAATTAACCTATCTGATAATGCTGCTAACGCTTCACCAATAATATCCAGAAATAAAACAGCAAAGTTAAACATTCAAGTCACCATTCTGTCGCACCTAACTGATGTAGAAGATGTGAGTTCTTTTCTTTTAGAGGAATATATAATACTCGGCATTAATACTACTATGTTTGTTTCCAGGTATGAAACATTGCCTTACTAATACAGCATTTGGTTTTAGCCTTTTAGGTTAAAAAACTCTGCACAATACTTCCATAAGTTATACGAGATTAAATTTGTTACTTAAACAGGATACAATGTGGAATAAGAATATGTGTATTCAGCATTACCAAGATAAAGCTATTTCTTATTTTGGTATCACAAACTCTGCATGCCAATCCATGTATTATCATTCATCCCATAAAAATCCACGTATTATTATTCACAACAAAACAATCATGTACTATAATCCTTGCATAATTAGTATTTACAAAATGGCCCCTAAAAGTTATTGCAAATACACAGCAACACAATATACAACGTCTTCAACTTTCAAGAGAAATACTCAGATAATAGATACTAGTATTAACTTTTTTTTTCTTTTTTTTTTGTTGATAATGGACAGAAGCTAGGGAATGGAAATTGATACTATTAATTGTTATATAGTAAACTAAAAATGAAAATTAACTCGAGAACATATAAAAATTAAGTGTGAAAAGTCTAATTCCGAGCTTACTTCATTAGGGTTCAGAAGAAAATAGTGGAGATAGAGAGCAGAGAGGAACATACCACCCGATTTTTCGCCGGAGAAGGAAGCAAGTTTCACTGTTGGGTCCTTGAATTGTTGTGTTGTAATGGACTCACTCTCTCAAAATCCATTTTCAAAACTGATGGGCCGGATAATATGTTGAAGTTAAGAACTTTATGGGCATGGATTTGGGCAAGCAAAAGTTAAATGTGGAGGGCCATATCCAAAAGGTTCGAAACAGTACAAATTTGCGTAAAAATTGCATGAGGTGGCCTATTTGGTCGTACATGTTTAACTTATACCCGTTTTATTTTTCCATTTGTATTCGTACCCTTTTTTTTTTTTTGTTAAAAGCATTTTAAAAAAATAATTTTGTCCTTTTTTAACAAAAGACTATTGACAAACTGCAGGACAAAAATCTAAGCATGTTTAGACTGAAGTTTTATCAAATAAACTAAAAAACTTCAGCTTGTTTAGACTGAAATTTCGGATAAAACTTAGGACAAAATTCTAGACTGTGTTACAAAACTTCAACATGTTTTGGTATGAAATTTTAGCAAATGAACTAAATAACTTGAGCATGCATTAACAAAAACTCTTTAGAAAATTACATACTGCAAGACAAAAATTTAAGCATGTTTAGTCTGAAAATTTAGCAAATGAATTAAAAAATTTCAGCATATTTAGTCTGATATTTTTTTAAATGAACTAAATAACTTCAGCATGTTTTGTCTGAAATTTTAGCAAATGAATTAAATAACTTCGGCATGCATTAACAAAAACTCATTAGAAAATTACATACTACAAGACAAAACCTAAGCATGTTTAGTCTGAAATTTTAGCAAATGAACTAAAAAACTTAAGCATATTTAGTCTGAAATTTTAACAAATGAACTAAATAACTTGAGCATGCATTAACAAAAACTCATTAGAAAATTACATACTACAAGACAAAACCTAAGCATGTTTAGTCTGAAATTTTAGCAAATGAACTAAAAAACTTAAGCATATTTAGTCTGAAATTTTAACAAATGAACTAAATAACTTAAGTATGTTTAGTCTAAAAGGATCTCACTTAAAAGCCAAAAGGCCACCATTAAGGATGCCGTTTATATGAAACAGTCTTGCGATGTAAATATGAAACAGTCTTACGATATATTTAAGAAAACAGTTTCCATCCCTATCAACACTAAGAATATTTCAGATTCTTCCTAAAGAAAAAAAGAAGAGATTCCAGATTTTCTCTCTTTCCATAAACCAAAATATACCAAACATCTCAAAGAATTTTCCCACTATTTCGTTGATTTATGTCATCTTTCTTCTAAAAAAAATAGCATTGTGATTTAATACACTTNATATATTATTCCTTATTATTAATATTATATTAATACACTTCATTATTATTATTAATAATATTAATACACAATACTTCATTATTATTATTAATAATATTAATACACAATCAATATATACAATGGTTATTATTATTATTATTATTAATACACTTCATTATTATTATTATTATTATTATTATTATTATTATTATTATTATTATTAATACACTTCATTATTATTATTATTATTATTATTATTATTAATACACAATCAATATATACAATGGTTGAAGAATTTATGTTAAAATATATAAATATACACGTGATTTTTACTTGGCATATTATCAGGTGTAATTTATACATGGTTTACATCGCATATAAGTTATCTAATGTAATTTGTACATAGTTTATTATAATTTATACTTGACTTATACAATGTATATTATCACAATTATGAGATTATATTCTAGGCTTCCATACGTACACTATAATATTTTAGGCCTACATCCACACTAATTATAGACCACACTTGAAAAGTGTTGCCAAAGATATCTATAGATACACTTTATAAGTGTGGCCTTTGATTAGAGTCTTCGGCCACGGTTTTTAGAGCCACCCTTAAAAAGCGTGTTCTTAAAGTATAAAGATCACACTTTTTAAGTGTTGCCAATACACAAATTATCTGGCAACAACGCTTATTAACTATAATGCAATATTTTTGAAGAGTTATTATATTGTTATACTAATCATAACTCTTTATAAGCGTAGTATAAAAATTTCTTATATAAAATTTCCCCCCAAATATTACAATTAGTGAAAATATTTCCCCCCAATACAATACAATGAAATCATCGTCCAAAGAATACTAGTGGAAAAATTTTTCCCAATTCTTTTCTCTCCTATGCCGCTTCACCTTCATTGCCTCCCTTAACCTAATTCATTGCTTGCCATTCATTGTTGCATGTGTCTTCGAGATTACTCTCACCCATAGCAAATCTCCATCCCCTCCTCTATTGGTAAGTATTTCTTTCGCTCAAAACTTTTTCTGTTTTTTCCAATTTTTAGTTTTGTTCTTATACTGTAAGATTCAAATTTTCTAGTTTCTTACTAGTGAGGATGAACAAATAATCTTCTATTGTGTACAATAGTATCTTGCTACAATCTTTGTTTTATACTCAAAGTTTTAAACTTTTTCTAATTTTAGATTCTTGGGCTAAAAAGAAGTAATTTTGTTTTGTTTAATTTTTAGGTATCAAAGTTTTTTGTTTTTTACTAATTTCAGATTCCTGGGCTGAAAAAAGTAATATTTTTTGTTTAATTTTTGATATTTTTGTATAGTCTTCGATCTTATACTTAAAGCTTCAGTTTGTCTAGTTTCTTATCGATGAGGTTGATAGAAGTAATTTTTTTTTGTTTGTATAATTACTGGGCTTTGTATAGTCTTTATTTTATACTCAAAGTTTTACTCTTTTTCAATTTCTGATTATTGGGCTTACATAAGTGATTTTTTTAATAGTTTTTGGCTATAAAAGTTTTCACTTTTATCTTAATTTCATATTCTTCACCCAAAAAATTATTTTTCTAATATTTTACGAACATTTTGAGGAGTAAAAAGACTTAATTTTGTTACTAAACAAGCCATTGCTAGGTTAACTTGGCAACTAGATTATGTCAAATTGAAAAACTCGTGCATCTAAAATTATGTCACTTTTGGTGGAGCTTTGTTATCCAAATTACTTTCAATGGCTAAGAATCTGACATTTCATTATGTGCATCTAGTACTTTATGCGCCAGCTTTACTGTATATTCCTTTGCATTAGGACCTCAAATGAATGTATTTTTAGCTTGTGAGTCTTCCTTGTAGTTGTCGTCAAGCTTTAATTTATCGTTGGACTCCTATTGCATCAAATTTTGTTCATATATTTTTGGGTATCTTTGTATTGTCTGCTAATCATTTTTAGTTTTTCTAGTTTTCTGATAAATGAGGTTGGAAAAAATAATCTTTATTTTTGTATAATTTCTGGGTAAATTTGTATAGTCTTTGTTTGTATTCAAGTATTTAACTTTTTTTCTTCTAATTTCATATTCTTATGTTGAAACAAAGTAATTATTTTGTTTAATTTCTGGGTATTAAAGTTACCTTTTACTAATTTTAAAATATGACTAGTTCTGGAGTTTCTTCTTTAGAGTTGAAGAAATCAGAAATAACTAGTTAGATTTTTATATCTTAACTTCTTTTAATTATTTAATATTTGTACGAACAAAACACCTTTTAGGTGACAATATACTTGCCAATGTGCACATTACACTTTTTGGTGCGCAGAATTATTATATTATCTTCATGAAAAATTTGGTTTAGAATTTTATTACTTTCTGTCTTTGTTTTGTGGATCCTACTAATTTTACTTTTTGATCCAAGAAGATTAGTCACGCTCGGGAAGATTTGTGGTAGACTTAAAGTTGGGTTTGGCTTAGCTTAAGTGTCATGACTAGGTAAGAGAGTTTTATTGTTTTGCAACACATGATTTTCCAGATTTACTCTTGACGTTTTGGAATCATTTTTACAATATAGTTAATGCTTAAATGATTATATACTTGAAGATCTAATAAATTTAACTTTTAGGAATTCAAATGTTTCATCCAAGGAATGGATGGGTTTACTAAGGTATAGCTAGGGGTGGGCATAATACCGACCGAACTGAAAAAATCGGTCGAACCGAAAATTTCTGTTTATTCGGTTTCAATTTTTCGGTTTATTCGGTCGGTTTGCGGTTTATAGTTTTAAAAAGTACGGTGATCGATTTTAACGGTTCTGTTTTCGGTTAAACGGAAAAATCAAATTTTTGTTTACCATCTTTTTGACTCTCTAGTTTAACATATAACTCCACACACTTAATTCTCATTTTATTTAACGTTTTCGTACATAGTTGATATATTAATTGGCCTCTCATATCATTCCGTAACTAAAGTCTAAAAATTATTAGAAGAGAAAACGAACTCACGTTATAAGAGAAACCTTTACTTTAGCAACTAGAGAGAAGATAGTAAGTTGGTAAGTAGAGGCAAAAGCAAATTACAGTAATATGTATTGTTCCACCCCAGAACCTGTATCTAATTATCTTGACGAAGGAATAAATGGATTTGTCTTATACTAAGGAAAAGACCAAAATAAAAAAAAGGAAGAACATTCATAAAGCATGGCATCAGTTGTTGATTAATAACATTACTTTGTGAATGAAGTATATATATTGCCGCAAACTTTTAAATTCTATATATGGACAAACATAAATGAAGTTTACTTTATATTGGATTATTCATAATAAATAAAATTAATTAGTAACCAAAAAAAATAAATCATGTCCCAAACTCTTTAGTTAAGTTGAGCTTCCATAACTCTTGCATAAATATTCTTATCTTTTCAATGTATTTGATAGAATTTCTTATTTTTTTGTCTTTTATCAACAAGTAATCTATTTTCGTTGTTTCATTATTTTTGTCATGGCTTGAAACCGAAAAATCGAACCGAACATGAATAAATAGAACCGAACAGAAGTTATTATGGTTCGATTTTGGTTATTAAAATCACAAATCGAAAATCGAAATTATACAAAATCGAACCGAACCGACCGATGCCCACCCCTAGGTATAGCAAAAAGTATGTCGAGGGTGTTCAATCTTTCTTAGATTTTACTTACTCTTATGAAGATCCTCAAGGCGAGGAAATTCAATGCCCATGTGCAAAGTGTTGTAATATTTGTTGGACTTGAAGGAATGTAGTGTATGATCATCTAATATGTTATGGATTTATTCA